TTATTCATCAAGCTTTTATTAAGCTCTACTGTAGGGAGGAGCCCTGTGCTAAGCACAAAGGGAAACACAATATTTGGATATATGTTCTTGTCCTCATGGAGCCTAGTCTAGTTGGAGGATAAAGCACGGGTGTGAGGGTTTGCTTGAGCTTGCGCCCGGGCTCGCGCACACCACCCCCCTCCCCCCCGGGTGATAAGTGCTCTGGAAAATTGTGAATCAAAGTGCTCAGCAAGTTCTGAGGAAGACATTCATTACCAAGAGGTAAGAGAATAGCATTTGAATTGATTGATCTTTAAAGAATGGCATAAAGAATATTTGGGGCAGGGGCAGCTACCTGGTACAGTGGATAAAGCTCCAGCCTTGGAGTCAAGAGGACCTGAGTTCAAATCCGACCCCAGACACTTGACACTTAACTACCTGTGTGACCCTGGGCAAGTCACTTAACCCCAATTGGCTCACACCAAAAAAAAATAAAAAAAAAACACTTTGGGCAAACATATCCTTTCCTTCTATAGGAAAGAGCTATATTCAGCCTTCAAGCAAGTTTGCATTATTTGTATTTTCAAGTCAGGATATTTTCTTTGATCACCATAATCAAAAAGGTGTTTACTATGCATCCACATGAACAATGCTCAGTGCTAGGTCCCATACAAATCAAATTAATCTAATTCTATTTCACTAGGTGAGCTGGAAGCAAACAATTGACATTTGCTACATTCTTTTCATTCACAGAAACTGAACCCAGCAGTTTCCCAACCTGTCTTGCATGAGACTGACTCACCTTGACCTCACCCTGAAAGTACCTAGCAGTTTATATTCCTTCTCCCCGCTCTGAAGCACTTCTCTACTGAGAAAGCAATTTCTTCCAAGTTAAGAAATCAAGCTCTTGGTCGTCTTCATTTTTGAGGAGATGCATCCATGAATGGCACAGAGGCAATGACTAAAAACTACTTGGAAAAGCAAAGAGATTAGAGATGGCAGATGTGCCTGTTGTTTAAAATAAATAATATGAAGAACAAAAAGAAAGGAGAGAATAAAGGACAGGAAACCAGAGAGAAATAAAAGGTGGGGAGAGATAAGAATAGGGAGAAGGAAAAAGGGCTGGCCCATGCAGGTAATATTCCAAATATAATATCAAACAGGAATCTTAATTCTAAGTATTTGTTTTTTGATAACGGATGCTTAAGCCTTCCAAATAAAAATTTTAAATGCTTCTCATACCAATTGAGAATGTTTTCCTATTATGTTCTGAAGAAACTGGTATTATCAGTAAGGAGTTTCTTAACATCTCCATTAGGAAGACTGTTTCAATCTTCTAATAAATCTAACTGCCTTTGCAATTCTTTTGACATCTATCAGATAATTGTTTCCATCATGCATAATACATTAAAGTTTGCATCAAGATCCTACGTTCACCACGTTAGAGAATTCCATATTGTAAGCTAAAAATAAAAGTAAACACTGGCTATTTTAACAAATCACTGAAATGAGCAACAACTGACATTTATATGTGACACTAACGTATCCAAAGCAGTTTTCTAAGAACTCTTAAGAGACAAGTATTACAAATGCTCCTTACTTATCCCCCCCACCACTTTGGCAGATAAAGAAACTGAGGCACAGGGAAGTTATGACTCACCCAAGGTCACACAGTTGAGTTGGAATTTGAACACACATACTTTCCAAGACTCCAAATAAAGAGTTCTCTCTACCAACACCCACTGCCCCTCAACAAACCACTTCCACAGGAAGCTATACAAAATGAATCTGAATGAGAGCACTAGATAAGATTATTTTGCACACTATATAACTCATAGAGCTAGAGAAAATCCAACTAGGCAAGGGAAGATGGTAAGATAAAGAAGTAACCACTCAAGGTTACATGTTATGAAAAGTACAGGTACTCAACTCACCAAAGTGAATACTAATTTTTCTAGGGGTTGTGGGAGACAACACATATATATAATTTCACAAAAATGAAATTGTCCCTAGCCTAATGGACTAGTGTTTGGCCTAGCCAGGAAAGACACCATGCACATATATATATATAGATACATACAAAGTATATATTACAAAAGACACGAGAATATTGGGGGAGAGGAAGTAGTCATTACCAACTAGAGGCTCAGGAAACACTTCATGTGGATTTAATCTGATCTTTGAAGGAAAAAACTCAGAGATGGGGGGTAAGGGGAGAGAGAGAGAGAGAGAGAGGAGGAGGAGGTGAAGGATAGACAGTGTAGACAGGATAGGGGAGATGGAATGCCTTGTATGAGGTAAGAAGGGCAATTTGGTTGGATGGATGTGTGGGTAAAGGGGAATAAAGTGTAATACAGCTTGAAGATAGGTTGTGATCAAGTTGTATAGGGAGTGGGTGACAGAAGTTTCAGTTGAATGATTTGATCAGAAGCCAGATTAACAAAGAGCTGAGAAGTGAGAGGAAAAGAAACAGAAGGCAAGCAGTGTAGACAGATTTTTCTAGGAGTCTAGCTGAGAAAAGACAGGAAGATAACTTCAGAGAATACAATGTCTACTGAGGTTTTTTATTGGTTTTTAAGGATGAGAATGTGGGGTGTTTCTACAAGCCAGTAAAGGAATCAGTAGATAAAGAGAGATCAGATTGAGACTTCTGGGCTTTACACAGATTGTAGTGAATTACCTACCTACATCACATAATAATATAGTTCATTCTGCTGCTACAAATTGTATCTTAGTTCTCGGTATTTACTGCACTTAGATGAGATTTTTGATAAGGTATGCTTAAGCCTTTACTCAAGCTTACTGCACTAAGCTTAGAGACTGTATTTCTTTAAGAAAAAAAAAAAACCCTACACTATAATTCAGTCTCTGATGTCACACAGGCCTTCCACTAATATTCCCAGTGCAAAAGGTTTCATTGCATCAGCAAAAGAATTGGACTCTCCTGCTTTGAATGCCATTTAGCTCCACCCCGTGTAAAGGTAAACCTGGCAGTCAGTGGCTTTTTCAAACCTGGGAGTAGGGCCACAGATATACTAGCTGGCTCCCACAGCCGCCAAGAGGTGGCTTGGTCCTTTCTCTCTAACCCAGCTGGTGCCCCAGGCGACCCTCGAGTGTTCTTCCAGGGCAAAGGCAGGAGGCTCGAGCCACGCCCCATCTGCCCAACCGCTAAAACTGGAAATAATCCTTATTTATTCTAGCCCTTTTTCTCCTCAGGGAGGAGATAATGTAAAAGTCCCTCTTCTACCTACCCACGTGGGAGCCAGTTTCGTCGTAAAAAAGAGAAAGCTTATTGGATGTATATATCTCCTTTCCCACACTAGCTGTGAGGATCCATTTATTTCTCCCTTTCCCTTAACGATTTAACTTTTAAAAAAAAATGTTGAGATAAGGAAGATGACAACGACTAGGAGAAGTTTCTCTTCCTCCCATTCCCATCCCATTTCTCCGCGGCTGATTTATAAACCTTACAAGTGTCAGTATCCAAGTCTTAGGGACACACACACACACACACACACACGCACACATACACACCTCTCTCCAAATCGTGATGAGGTTGCGGAAGTAAGGGACGGTCAACATTTCCAACTAAGAAAGAAAACGAATAGGGAAGAAAAAAGGCTAGGACTTTAGATGGGTTTAAAAAAAAAAAGATCAAAGTAACTCATGAAAGGGCACCTGTGTCTGGATTTGGACGGCCAGAGCAAAGTTGGACTGGGTAAGCTTAGGCAGTTGAAGCCTCTCTCCGTGAGCCCTAGATGAAGAGGTTGTTAGCAGGTCCCTAACTTTGACAACACCAACTGCAATGAAACTGTGGGTGGTTCAGCTCTGGGCATGCATCTGTTCGAATCTTCCCCATCCTGGGTTCTAATCTGCAGGACTGGGCGAAACGATCAGCTGGAATCTTTGATGCTTCTTGTAGATCCCCATCGACTGAGCTCAATATTCCTTCAAAACTTTCCCCAAAAACAATATAACCAACCGCACACTTCTGAAAGAAAATTATAATTAAAAAAAAAAACCTCTCTTTCCTCTCCCGCCTCTCCCACGCTCCGACCATTTTTTTAAATGGAACTCCTTTTTTTCTCATAGCCTTATAATACCCGGCCCCAGTTTTTTCCCCCATCTCCCCATTTTCCTCTCCCTTTCTGCCACGTTCTCCTTTTGGCACTTTCCTACATCTCTCTTACCCCTCCCAAATTCCTGAAGATTAGTTTATGAGAAAAGAGATTTCTCCGATGGCAGAGGAGACCCGGTCGGATCGGCCCTGGGCTGGTGAGGGAGCCCCAAGCTGCAGTGCACCAGGGGTGGGTCTTGATAGGGGGAGGGGGCGGCAAACTGGCGAGCCTGAAACCCCAGAGAGTGACAGCCCAATGACGGAAGGAGTTTCTCCTTAGTAAGAAAACAAAACCAAGTAAGACCCCTCTAGCTACTGAGGCTAGAAGCAGGAGAGGTCCAGTGAATGGATGGAAAACCGTGAAGCAGAGGCCAGGGGGTTAGAGTGAAAGGCAAGTTGCCAGAGATTGAATGAGGCCTGAGAGGAAAGTGGAAATATAGGAAAAGACTAATAATGGACTGGGAAAGTATCAGAAAGCTCTGCAGAGACTGGGCCGAGTTGGGAAGGTGAGAGAAGTCAGGAGACCAATAGACGCGAGCAGAGAGGAACTTCGGAGCTAGCTGGCAAAAAACTGGCAGTACTGGGAGGGGCTGGAGGGACCGGACAGGTGTGGCGCTTCCCAACCAAACTTTCTCCCCAGCCACGAAGTTAGGGGCAATGGAGTTGAGACTGAGAGAGGCAGTGTCTTCCATGCTCACCACCTCACCCCCGGGACAGGTGGGAGGGGGAGGAGAAGAAACCGTCCCTGACTGCATACATCTCTCCAGCCCCAAGACTCCGTAACGCGTTCCAGATGTGCACCTTCACCCTCTTCCCAAGGCCCGGGCTCCTCTTTCCTGTTTTCCTCCTCTGCACACACATTCCCCTTCAGGACAGCCGAGATACCTGGGGCAGCCACACTCACCTGGCTGTAGAGCTCGCAGACCGACATGACCCCGCCGGGGCAGCAGACCAGCCCGGAGGCGCGTCTGTTAGCTCAGCCCTGGCTCCAGCGATCCGGCCCCTCTCTCCAGGTCAATCCCCGAATCCCTGTGAGGCTCGCTGCCCCGATGGCTCTCACACCAGTCGCTGCCCGTGTGGCGCCATCTTCCTGCGCTTGCAAAGAGTTTTTCTTCTTTCTTTCTTTCTTTTTTTTTTATCGCCCCCACTTTCCCCTCTCTGTTCACTCGAGGCACCGTTTCCTGGCTGCTCTCTCCTCCAGAGCGACCTTTACTCGGGCGGCAGCCCGGCTGGAGTTAGGACTAAACCTGGGAGGAGCTGCGGAGGAGGAGGGGGAGGAGGAGAGGGAGGACGAGAGAGAGAAGGAGGAGGAGAAAGAGAAAGAGGAGGAGGCAGCTAAGCTCCGCCGCTCCCCGCTCAGGTATGGGGAGGAGGTGCTGGCAGGAGAGCGTCAGAGGCGAGCGCTCTGTGCGTCCCCGGCGCCTTCCGCGCGCTGCAGGTGCCCAGAGCTCGGGCTGAGGGCGGGACGGCTCCTCCCACCCCGCGGCGGGTCTGAGAACGCGGAGGCCACCACCCGGGGATCCTCCGCTCCGAACTGTGTGAGTCCCGCGGGGCGGGTGAGAGTGGAAGGCACGCGTGGAACTAATCCCGGACCGCCCCCTGCTGGTCCTGGGGGCAAACGCCGGCCAGACCTGGGTAAAGACAGGTGCATCATGTGTGTAAATAGTGACACACACACACACACAAGCTTGGTAACCCTGTTAGCCTTGGGTATCGCTCGCGGAGCTAGGCATATGAAAGAGAGAAGAAAGAAATTCAGAGAGTAAATGAAGAAAAGAAGAAAAGAAAGGGGCAGGGGGGAAGTGCCAACTAGTCTCCTGGAACACTTGGTGACACCAAGGCCATAACGTGCCGGTCTCGTTCGAGGAATAGTAAGGAGACCAGTGTCACTGGATTCGGAATAAGTGGAAGAGAGTAAGGTAAGAGGCCTAGAAAAGAAAGAGGGCTTTAAAAACAAAACTAATATTCGGAAATAGTAGATTTTAGTTTTGTAACAGTTTTACATTGATTTGGACACCTAGGAATCAATCATCTCCACTAAAATCAAAGTAACTTTGTACAGTAAAATACTGACGTCGCTGGTAAGCCTGTAATAAATGCTGGGGAGACCTGTCTACCAATGCCAGTATGATGACAGAAATGATAGATAAATAGAGACATATTATGCAATAAGGGCTTTCCATTTCTACAAAGCAGAAACCCAGCCACTCCAAATGAATAATTTATGCAGAAAATATTCAGATGTTCTTCTTTATCTATACATTTTTCCCTGTTCCCACCCCTCCTGGCTCCCACCGTGTTGACTTCCACCACATTTGCTTCTCCATTGCCAATGGCACTTGGCCGATTTTAACAGCTTCACCCCCTTCTACCCCAAAACAAATGTGTTAGGGAAAAGCACTAAACTTGAGTGCAGAGAAGCTAGGTTTGAAACTCTAATTTTATATTTTCTACCTGTATACCTTGGACAAGTCAGTTCCTCCCAGCATTTCCTCATCTACAAAATAAAGGGATTGGAGTAGTTGGTGTCTAAGGTTCATTCCTGCTCAGACTGCTCTGATACTGAGTAGAATATGCTCCTAAATTACATACAAAATTGTAAAAAGTTAGATGGGTGGCAGCTGGGATGGGGGAAGGAGAAAGGGGAAAAATAAGGAAGAGAAAGAGGGAGGAGAGGAACACAGGTTGAGTTCTCAGCTCAGAGTTGAGTATAGTCACCATGATGTGACTACAATCCTTCCTGAATCCTGGACCCTATAGCACAGCAGGGTTCCCAAGCTCATAAGGGAAGCCTCCTATGAAAGGACTTGTCTGTTTTCTTCACCTGGCAGCAAAACTTAAATCTGAAATGACATACACTTCTGGTCACCGACTATAATAAGGAAACACATCAATGAGCATTTATTTAGTGTTTACTCTGTGTTAGACACTTCTAAGCACTGAAAATTCAAAAAGAAGGCAAAAACAGTTCCTGCTTTCAAGGCATTCAGTCTAACAGGGGAGACAGTGTGTAAATAACTATATACAAGCAAGATATAGATAGGATAAAGAGGATATGATCCCAGGGGAAAAGCACTAGCACTAAGAGGGACAGGGAAAGACTTCTTGCTGAAAGTAGGATTTTAGTTGAGACCAGAAGGAAGCCAGGGAAGCTAGGAGAGAAATGAGTAGAGAGAGAATGCCAAGGCATGGAGAACAGCCAGTGAAAATACATGGAGTTGGGAGATGGGGAGTCTCATGGAAGGAACAGTAAGGAAACCAGTATCACTGGATTGGGAATATGTAATGGGAATAAGGTAAGAAGATTGAAAAAGCAAGAGGGAGTTAAAAACCAGTTTTTTATAATAAATCATTGGAGTTTATGGATTAGAGGGGCAATATGATCAGACCTGAGTTTTAAGAAGATAAATTTAACTGCTGAGAGGAGGATGGACCGGAGTGAGACTAAAAAGATATTGTAATCATCCAGGCCTGAGGTGATGAGGGCCTACAGCAGAGTAGGGGTGTCATAAGGGGAAAAGGGGAGGTGAAACAGATGTTATGAAAGTAGAATTGACAGGATTTGGAAACTAACTGATAGAATATGGAGGGGAAAGGGGGAAGAGAGGGAAGAATCAAGCATGATATCTAGTTCTGAGTGTGGGTGACTGGGGAGAGAGTGGTGGCCTCTAAGGAACAGGAAGTTAGGAAGAGGGGAAGGTTTAGGGAGAAAGATAGTGAACTTAGTTTTGGATATGTTTAATTGGATGTATCTATGGAACATCCAGTTCAAAATATCTAATAGACAGCTAAAGATTCAAGACTGGTGGTCAGGGGAGAGATTGGAGCTGAATAAATAGATCTGAGAATCATCACAGCATAGAAGAAAACGGTCATATTGAAGTCCTGAGATCTGTCATTGATCATCACCTTCTTTGTCAAATTGGAATAGTAGCTAGAGAAGCCCATTCGATCAGCATTTATCAAGTGTCCATTCGGTGCACCACATCAGACTAGATGCCTTACTCTACTCTTCAGTTAAATTTGACCATTTGGCGTTCTTTGAAAATACCTCCCACTTTCTTACTAACCCACCGCTGTGCTTTTTCTCCACCATTCTCTATTCCTGAAGTGCCCTCCTGCCAGCACAATTGATTCAGTTCAGTTTTAAAAACACTTATTCAATGTTTGTAATGTTGGAGGATAGAAGGTGGAGGGAAAAAATACCCGCCCTCAAGGAGCTTACACTATAATAAGGGGGATGCAACATATTTACAAATAAATAATAGAAAAGGTAAAATGCAATAGAAGCAAGGAAGAGATCCACAGACAAAGTACTCTTAGAAGATTTGAGGAAAGATCACTTTCAGCTGGGGAAAGGAGGCAATTCTTCACAGAAGAGTTGGTAGCAGGTTTCAGTCTTTTTTATTATTATTATTTATTTAGTTTTAGTTTTCAACATTCACTTCCATAAGATTTTGAGTTCCAAATTTTCTCCCCATCTCTCCCTCCCCCCACCCCAAGATGGCATGCAATTTGTTATAGGCTCTACATATACATTCATATTAAACCTATTTTCACATTAGTCATGTTGTAAAGAAGAATTAGGACCAATGGGGAAAACCATGAGAAAGAAGAAACAAACAAATGAAAGAAAAAAGAGAAAGCAAATAATATGCTTCAATCTACATTCAGACTCCGCAGCTCCTTTTCTGGATGATGACATCATTTTCCATCTTGAGTCTTGTCTTAGATCCTTGCATTGCTAAGAAGAGATAAGTCTATCAAAGTTATTCATCGAACATTGTGGCTGTTACTATGCACAATGTGCTCCCGGTTCTGCTCACGTTACTCAGCAGCAGTTCATGTAAGTCTTTCCAGGTTTTTCGGAAGTCTGCCTGCTCATCATTTCTTATAGCAGGTCTTGGTCTTAAATGAAGAGAAGGATTTCAACAGGCAAAGGTAAGGAGGAAGTTTAATTTCAGATTTAGGGGGAGGAGCTTGCACAAATTCTTGGAAATAAAGGAAATCAAGGAACTGCTAGTAGTCCAACTGGGTGGAATGTAAACTATGCCACTAGGGTAAGATACAAACTTCTCAGCCTGTGGAATTTAAGGTCTTGCATAAACTAGCTCCAGTCCACCTTTCCAACCTTATTTCACATTATTCCCCTTCACTCATTTGTCACTCCTGATAAACTGGATTAAATTCCCTTCTCAATTTCTTGTCTTTAAACATTCACACAAACTTTTCCTCCAACTTCACCACCAGGTTTAGAATATACTGCTCCTTAGTGTTTCCCTTTAGAATCCTTAAGGGCTCAGTTCAGGTGTCAGCTCTGCAAAGATTTCTCTTTATTCATACCGTCCCACAATAGTGGTGATATCTTCATTTTCAAACTGTCCCCCATTTACTAATTCATGTGCATTTTGTGTCATCTTAGAGGTGCCTGAGGACAGGACTACATTACTTTTGTCTTTGTAGCTTAGCACAGCACTTTATATAAGAGGCTTTTAATAAATGTTTTCTGAATTAAATCAAATTGAGTATTTGATGTCTTCCCCAGTCCCCTCAGTTGTTAGTCTTCTCCCATCTAATTAGTATGTATCTTGTATTTAATTGTTGCATGCTGTCTCCCCTATTAAATTATAAGTTCCTTGAGGGAAGAAATTGTATTTTTTTTTTTACTTTTTTTATCCCCAGCCTTAGTACAGTGTACAGTACATAGTAATCATTTAATAACATGTTGGGTTTTTTTGTGGATGGATAAATGGATGGAAAATAGTGTCAAATGAAGCTAGAAGTGATGGATGGAATCAGATAATGGAAGACTTTGAATACAAATATATATTTTTTTAAAAGTTGTATTTTATCCTATATAAAGAGGCCCTGAACATTTTTGAACAGGGGACATATTTAGGCCTATTACTGTATGATGACAGGTCCAGGGTGTGGCCATATTGGGCTGTGATTGATAGGCAGTGGAGATGAGGCATAGGTTCCAAATCTGAAGCCTTCTCTACTCTTCTGGGTTTACTCATTATATTGGGTGCTTGTATGCCCAACATTTAGAAGTGATAGGCTCACTGTGCTGCATGAATGCTCATGTAAGCATTAGTGGCAGTGCTGTAAAACCAATGGGACCAGAATTAGAAGAGACTTGGGTTTCAAGTCTACCTCAAACGATCGCTAGATGTCCAAGCATAGACAAATGAGTTAATCTCTCAGCCTCTGTTTCTTCATCTATAAAATATAAATAACACCTGTGGTACCTATCCCACAA